AGCTCCTCAGGGATTCTCCAGCCCCCTCAGCTCCTCAGGGATTCTCCAGCCCCTTCCCGGCTCCTCAGGGATTCTCCAGCCCCTTCCCGGCTCCCTCAGGGATTCTCCAGCCCCTTCCAGCTCCATTCCCATCCCTGGACACTCTCCAGCCCCTCAGGGTCTCTCAGGGACACAGCCCTGGGGGTTCTGTAGCACAGCAGGATTTTATACAGTTCCTCACTAAAATTCCCAGCTTTTGAACGCGTCCAGATGAACATAAACGCTCTGAGCTCACCCTCAGCTGCCCGGGTGTGGGAATTGCCTTCTGGCTGGAGCAGGGATGGCTCGGGGGGCTCAGGCCCAGCTGCAGCTCCCCATGTCCCCAGGGAGGGGACCCGAGTCTGCTCCTGGCTGCAGGGAATGGGGGGCACTGACCTGGCTGGGAAAGGGTTTGGGGGAGTGGGAATGGGAAGGGCAGGATCTGTCCTGCGGGAAGCAGGTGCCAGGGCCTGTGTGCAGTGACAGCAGGGGACACCTGGAGCTCCTGGATGGTGGAACTGCTGCTGCCCTCACCCCTGCCCCTTTTCGTTTCTATACATTTTGTCCTTTCATCCATTTCTTCCATTTCATCCCCCAGACATTTGTCCTTCCACACATTTGCCCCAAAAGCTGCCAAACCTGAGTTTTCTTCCCCATTTCCATCGCTCCCCTTCCATATTTGGTGTCTCCCCTGGCTGCAGCTGGACCAGGGGGATCCCAGTTGGGAGTCGCCCAATTCTCCAGGCTCATTCCCCGCCCTCTGAAACCTCCTTTCTGCCAGGAAAACAAAACAAAAAAAAAACCACCCAAAAGCCTTACAATAAGGTGACGTTTTTATTATTTATACAATAAAGAGACTTTTTAATGTTATTCAAAACACTTTTTTTTTTGGAAATACTGAAAAAGGTGGGTACAGCAAAGCCGAAAATGGCTCTGCTGCACTGCACAGCATCGGTTCAGTCCCTGGGCTCCCTCTGCAACAGAACAGCTGCAAAATGCAGCAGCCCCACAGCACGGCCAGGCCCTCCAGGGCAGGGGAGGGGACAACCTGCATGTGCCAAGGGACAGGAGCTGATTGCACTCAATCAATAGATTTAAAATAGAGTTTCTGAAGTACCTTTTTGCACATAAAATGAAGCAGCTTTCAAGTTCAGTAAGTCTTTATACTGCAAAAAACATGAAGTACATTCACAATCTATGTTAATAAAGTAGTAAATATTTCCTCATTCAGCTTTATTTACATGGATACTGGAATTCAACTGAAAAGTACAGTCATCTGGAATATAGCAATCTTTGAACACATACAAAAATGACCATTTCTGTATATAATTTAAGCTCAAAATCACAATTATCTCAAAATATTAATTACAATACAGCCATCTCCATCATAATTAAACATGTCTTTTATAAAATGGTAAAATCTTTACTAAAGGAAGCTGTTGGTTCTGAACTGGATACAGTACTCACAGGTAGAAAACCGAAGTGATGAGCGAGTGCCCTGCCCGGGGAGGAGGAGGAGGAGGAGGGAGGGACACAGCCACCGCCACCCGAGGGACACGGAAAGGCCCCAGTGCCACCTCTTGTGCCATGGGCTGTGCCAGGAGTGCCCAGAACCCCGGGAATCCTGACCCACTAAATCAGCTGGAATCGACCAGGGAGAAGATTGGCAAAACCTTTTTAGGGGGTTTCCTTTTTTTAATTTAATTTTTTGGTTTGAAATTCCGTGATTTGCAAGTGGCGCCTTTTGGGGTTGGGTGGTGGCCCCGGTGGCACCACGGCTGTGCCTGGCTGTGGCTCCAGGGCCAGGCCAGCTCCCCGTAGATCCCTGGATCCATATCCTGTCCAAACTGCTGCCCAGAAAGTTGTATGGGCAGGGGATGGGCCTGCCCTGCCTGCCAGGGACAGCCCTGGAACTGTGCACTGCCAAAGGGACGGTGAGGGACGGGCACGGGCAGGGAGCTCCAACTGGCACAACATCCCCAATGTCCTCTGGAAATTCTAACTGTGACATCCCACCAGTTCACAGAATCACAGGAGGGACCTCTGGACACCATCCAGCCCAGCCTGGAGCAGGGGACACGGGATGTCCCCAGAGAGGGAAACCCCAGACCCGCTGTGGGCAGCCGGGCAGGGCTGTGCCACCCCCAGGGAAAGGAGTTCTTCCTCGTGCTGAGGTGGGACTTGCTGTGTTTGTTTATGTCCCAAACCTGCCCGGGTGGGTGCTGACCCCGCAGCTCTGTCACCCCTGAGCCATCCTGGGACCTGTCCCCAGCGCTGCTGCTGTGGGCCAGGCTCTGCCTGGCCAGGGGTGCCAGCAGGGCATCCCTCCTCCATGGCAGTGCCAGGGGATAAACACCCCCATCCCCCCTGTGGCCTCCCCGGGGCCCTGCCCTCATGATCCCACTGTCAGGGGTCATTTCCCTGGTTTTGCATTCCCTGTCCTCGCATTCCCCCTCAGAGCTCTGTGCACAGAGGTGTTTCTGATTGCATCAGGGAATTCAGTGCTAAATTGCAGCACTGAGGGGTCCCAGCATCCCAGAATGGGCTGGGGGGGGAAGGACCTCAAATCCCACCCAGTGCCACCCCTGCCATGGCAAAGACACCTCCCACTGTCCCAGGAGCTCCAGCCCCAGTGTCCAGCCTGGCCTTGGGCACTGCCAGGGATCCAGGGGCAGCCACAGCTGCTCTGGGAATTCCATCCCAGGGAACAATTCCCAATTCCCAATGTCTCATCCATCCCTGCCCTCTGTCAGTGAAGCCATTCCCTGTGTCCTGTCCCTCCCTGCCTTGTCCCCAGCCCCTCTCCAGCTCTCCTGGAGCCCCTCCAGGCCCTGGAAAGGGCTTTAACCAAGGGTTTTAACATCTTTACACTCCAAGTGCTCACTACCAACAGCAAACCAACCTCCTGGACATTTCCTACTCAGATTTTTCCTGGATTTCCTTGGCTCTGCTCTCAGCTGCCCCATTCACCCTCAGTCTTGTCCTGCCTGCTCCCTGTGTAGAGCTCCCTGTCCCCTCCCAGGGCTGGCACTGCCACCAAACACAGATGCAGACGTGGTGGATGTGTTAAAAAATACCTTGGAAAACATGAACCCGGATTTGAGGATGTTAAACGGTTGCTGTTGGGAACAACTGGCTGAGAACCTTCCTGGTTTGCCATCACCTGGGTAGGAACTGTGAGCTGGCACTGGGAAAATGGGAAATTATTAGGGGTGGAGGGTCCTGGAGGCTTCCCCGGGCCTGCAGCTGCCCACAGGCAGAGGGAGAAGGTTTGGGAATTCTTGGAGAAGTGGAACATCCCCGTGGGCTGTGGCTGCACCCATAGCTGTGGGATTTTGGGTGGGAATGGTGCAGGTGATCCAGAGCTGTCCCTCAGCCCCGGGCCATTGCTCGAGGGCACTGGGATCCCCTGAAAACACCGGCAGAGAGCTTTCCCATTTTCTGCCAGGGATAACCAGGCTGGACCCTGGCACCCCTGAAGCAGCAGCAGCAGCTGGGCACAGTCTGGGCTTTGGGATTCTCCCTTGGGAACAGCCCCAAGACTTGGACATGTGGGATGTCCCACTGGCCCTGTGCTGGGAATGCTCCTCCCGGGCTGGCTCGGGGTCGCCTGCTGCTCCCTGGGATGTGTCTGTGCCCATCCCTTCCCAGGACTCCCAGACAGCCTCACCCATGGGAATATCCTGAGCAGGGCCCGCCAGGGCCTGGAGCAGGGGGGAAAAATACACAACAATGTCAATGGGGAGTCTGAAATGAAAAATTAACGAGTTAAATTAGCAGCAACAAAAGGAGTTTTACTGCCACCATCACAACCTTCCTCCATCCGTGAGCCAAACCTGCCTGTCCTCGGTGTTCTCCTGTAGTGTGTGCACATGGAATCGAGGGAAGAGCCAAAGCAAAGGGAGTTAACCTGTTCTGAAGGGAGTTCACCCACTCCAGAGGGAGTTCACCCATTCCAGAGGGAGCTGGAATCGTAGAACCATGGCATGGGTTGGGTTGGGAAGGACCTTGAAGCTCACCTTGCTTAACCCCTGCTGTGGCAGGGACACCTTCGCTGTCCCAGGCTGCTCCAAGCCCTGTCCAACCCGACCATTCCAGAGGGAGCTATCCCATTCCAGAAGGAGTTATCCCATTCCAGAGGGAGCTATCCCATTCCAGAGGGAACTATCCCATTCCAGAAAGAGTTATCCCATTCCAGAGGGAATTTTCCCATTCCAGAAGGAGCCATCCCATTCCAGAGGGAATTTTCTCATTCCAGAAGGAGTTGTCCCATTCCAGAGGGAGATATCCCATTCCAGAGGGAGCTCACCCATTCCAGAGGGAACTCACCCATTCCAGAAGGAGCCATCCCATTCCAGAGGGAACTATCCCATTCCAGAGGGAGCTCACCCATTCCAGAGGGAGCTCACCCATTCCAGAGGGAGCCATCCCATTCCCACGTGGGTTCCTTGTCCCGAGGTCCCAGAGTTACAGCTGGAGAAGTCTCTCACCCTGTGTAGTGAATTGTTCCTGATCCCTACGCAGCCAGCTATACACACGGCATATGTACAGGTATTTTCATAAGGCATAGAATATCTTTGCATTGAAAATAAATGAACATTATTAAATTTAATTTAATATATACTTTCTTTGAGGTGTTTATGAAAATATTTTCTTCTCTATACTTTCGTATGCGACATGATAGAAATATTTCATGGGAAGTACAGGTTAATATATTTCATCTTTATAAAGGCATATACAACTTTGAGGCAGTGTTTCAGATGGACAGCAGAATTCCTAAAGGATTTGTATGTGCTTCTGTGTTTTGAAATCATATGAAATTGACTTTTAAGAAGGAACTTGGTTAAAAAAACGCACCAATGCACAGCCAGAGGCTGACAAGTAAAACTAATACGGAGCCACATGAACAATATATTTATAGAGTTAATTCTTATATTTTCTCCCGATGATTGGTACTAACATAGAGTATTATACATTTGGCACTACTGTTTGCCATTGGTCCAGCAATTGGCAAAAAATTGGTTTCCTATGTATAAATCCTTTTGAACATTAGATCTGGCTAGACATATTTACTATTTATAAAAAAATATTTAGACAGTAAGCTCACGTTGGATAACTAAGTCTACTGTGTTCTGGAAACTCTTCAGTAGGAGCACAGCCTTCTCGTGTTCCAGGTGTACAAAGCTGTGTCCGTTGGCCTGCAGCAGGGAAAACACAAGGGAAGAGGCTTTAGTGGCTTGTTCTGGGGGAAAAAAGGCCTATTTGGCAATTAAGAGCAAGGCTGAAATAAATAATGAACAAGAGGGGGTTTCTCATGAACACAAAGCAGACGTTTCTCCTGTCCTTTGTGGGATGGCTTCAGGGCCGGGCTGGGGGCTCCAATGAAGGATTTCATTCCCACTGAAATCACGCTGTGACTCCGGGATGGCTCTGGGGTCTGACCACGCTCAAAGCCTCAACACAATAAAACACCTTTCCTCTGGGAAAGAGGAATCCAAATTCCGGGCAGGGAAGATTCCAAATCCACCCACAACTGTGCCAAAGAAGCGGTGCAGAGCCAGAAGGGCCCTGAGCCTCCTTTGCTCCAGGCTGAGCCCCCTCAGCTCCTCAGGGATTCTCCAGCCCCCTCAGCTCCTCAGGGATTCTCCAGCCCCCTCAGCTCCTCAGGGATTCTCCAGCCCCCTCAGCTCCTCAGGGATTCTCCAGCCCCTTCCCGGCTCCTCAGGGATTCTCCAGCCCCTTCCCGGCTCCTCAGGGATTCTCCAGCCCCTTCCCAGCTCCCTCAGGGATCCCCCAGCCCTTTCCCAGCTCCGTTCCCTGCCCTGGGCTCACCCCAGCCCCTCAGGCTGTGGTTTTGGGGTGCCCAGGAGTGGGCGCAGGGTGGAGGTGCCCCAGCACCCGGGACAATCCCTGTCCCTGGGCACTGCCCACGGGCTTTGATTCAAACCAGGGCCGGTGTTAACCAGGACAAACAGTGCTTCACAGCTGTAAGTCGACATTGGGGACCCCCAAACCCCAGAGGCAGCTCAGCCCTGCTGCAATCACCACCCACGGCGCGTTCAGGCGGAGCTCCGAGCCCGGGACTCCCCGGCATCCCTACCTGGAGGATTTTGTCTCCGGGCTGGAGCAGGCTGGAGGCAGGGCCGTCAGGCTGAACCCTAGTAACAAAGATACCCTATAAGTCAGAAGTAACACAGGTTAGGATGCTTTCTGCAAGAACTACATCCCATAAAACACGGGGCTCCCTGCCTAGCTGGGGCCTGGGGGCTCTGCGTGCCCTGGAGATGGGTTAGCAGCAAACTGGTTTATTCTGTTTGCCACCAAACACCAGTCTGGGGGTGGAGCAGCTCTCTGGGACATTCAGCACTTATCAGTAATTGTGGGTCATTTTAAACTAAAATCCCACATCACAAAGAAAGTCCAACGTGAGCAGGGCAGGAGCGGCAGGTTGTCAGGAGGGTAATTAAAATGGAACAAGTGTTAATTATTGGAATGATGTGCATCATAATCGATACAGCAATCTTTGCTTCCTTTAGGAAGCACAGCTTCAGTTTCATTATTTGAAATATTTGTGGAAGTTCTCAGTGTCCCTGCAGCACGAATGCAGATTTATCCAAGCACATCAGCCCCAGGAATGCCCTCAAGGCCTCCTTTTCCAACAGCCTGCAGTCAGTTCCATGGCACCACGCACAAATCCACAGGGTACGAGCGCACGTCCCACTCCCACAGCCCTGGCAGCCGGGACTCGGCCCACCTTGGAGTTTCTGTGGCCTCCTTCTATTGCAAATCCATTTATCTTAAATGTGCAATTCCCAAAATGAGCCCTGAGTGTCCCTGACCACCACCAGGTGTCAGTTTTAACTCCCAGTACAGGAGGCATCTGCTGCCGTGGGGTCTGTAAGGATCCAGGAGTTTCCAGGCTGCTTTTATTTGACACCGCAGCTACAAACCCTGGAATTTCAGCCTCCAGGGATGATAATGTACTTTAGTATAATATAATATAATATAATATAATATAATATAATATAATATAATATAATATAATATAATATAATATAATATAATATAATATAATATAATATAA